TCCTCTCAGGTCATGCGTAATACACATCCTGAGACTGAACCACTTCCTTATGGATTCTCCTCCATTCACTCCACCCCACGCACAAACATATTAGACTCCAAACTGTTTCGACTGATATTGGTCTGTGCATGTGTTTAAGAAGATAAAAAAATCCATGACTAGTGGCGTGCATGACTGCGAATGCTCTGTGTGTGTGTGTGTGTGTGTGTGTGTGTGTGTGTGTGTGTGTGTGTGCATCAACTGCTCCTCCTTCAACGACTGCCGCGAGCCTTCTTCTTCTCCCTCAGTCGGGCTGCTATTTCTTCTCGCCTTCTCGCCTTCTCGCCACTTCCATTTCATTCACGCAAACGCAAACGCAACCCACACAACACCATCCACAACAACGCAGCTTTACTCACACCACGCAACATGCACCGCAACAGCGCATCGTGCTCCGCAAGGTGGGCATGGTGTGCGCCACCTCATTCAGACAACACGTCACTGGTTGAGGAGCTGCAAGTGGGCCATGCTGGCCTGAAGCGTCTTGACAGATGCCATGATGGACTGCAGCGTTGTCTCCAGCGCCTTCTTGTCTTCCCTCAACGCTTTTGTCTCGTCGTGCAGTGCCCTGTTCTCCGCCTCCAGCGCTGTGATTCGCTGCCGCGCTTCCTCCACCGTCATGTACAGATGTGCACTCCCCTCCTGCCGCGGCTGTGTGTGTGTGTGTGTGTGTGTGTGTGTGTGTGTGTGTGTGTTGGGGATAAAGGGAGGCGTGAGTAATGTAACCAATGTGACCAATGTGAACAATGTGACACGAGTTCACCACACACGCACACACATACATATACACACACTCTCAAACAATCATACAGACACCAATGACGCCGCCGCCGCGCACCTTTGCGGCCCACTCTTTGACGAGAGCAACGAGGCTGGGCAAGCCTTCCTCCTCCACCATGTCATATGCCGTTCGCCCCTGCAGGCACACGTGTATGCGTGTGTGTCAGAAACTCGCAAGCATTCAGCCCACAACACATGCAAAGATGCACAGACACACGCATACACACACACGGCACACGGCACACGATGGCACGTACGCGGTCGTCGTTGACGGCGAGGGTTGCGCCGTGCTCAACCAGCAGCTTCACCACAAGCTCGTGGCCCTCCGCCGCCGCGCAGTGCAGTGGGGTGCGCTCCTGGGCGATGGGGGGGGGGAGGCAGTGGCGGTGGTTGGATACATGTTGAGGTGAGGGGGGAGGGGAGAAAGGGATGGATATCACGCGATAGTGCCTCAGAGTGGTATCGAGGCATGGATGTGCGACTGGCTACTGGAGATTACAGACACCACGCAAACGCATGCACACCACCTTCTTGTTCTGAGCGTTGACGAGTGCTCTGTGTTCGAGCAAAGAGCGAACCAGCAGCTCTTCGTTGTGCTTGCAGGCGAGATGCAACGGCGTGTTGCCCTGGAAGCATGAGCCAGTGAGTGAGTGAGTGTGTGTGTGAGTGTGTGTGTGTGTGTGTGTGTGTGTGTGTGTGTGTGTGTGTTTGTGTATGTGTGAGTGTATGTGAGTGTGTGTGTGTGTGCGAGTTTGTGTGCCTGTGTTGACACGATCACTCGTATGCATACATGAGTGCGTGTGCGTGTGTGCGAAGCACGTGCGATGCTGCATTGGCACTCACGTCCGTGTCTGTGCACTGCGTATTGGCACTTCGGTGGATGAGGAATCGCGCCAGCTGCTGGTTGCCTTGTACCGTTGCCAGATGCAGCGGCGTTTCGCCCTGCCCAATCACACCGTGATCCGAGGAGGGAGATGAGCAGGGAAGTGGCGTCTCCACAACAGCAAGCGAGGTCTGCACCTGGACGTCCACGCTCACATACAACACACACGCACAGACACAGACACAGACACACACACACACACAGACACACAGACACACACACACACACACACACACACAGAGACACACTCACACACTCACACACACACACGTACATGGTCGCACCTGTTTGTTCTGGGTGTTCACGTTGGCGCCCTTGTCCACGAGCAAGTGGGCAATCAGCTCAAAGCCTTTCTTGCAGGCGAGGTGCAGCGCTGTGTTGCCCTGGAGTGGACACCAACCCATCAGCACCAACACACAAACACATGAGATCAGCCCACCACGCCACATCATGCCCACAGCAAGCACTCAGCTCAGTACACCGGTGCACACGCAAATTGCAGTGTGTGTGTGCCACCTCATCTGTGGCGCAGCTCAGGTCTGCGTCTGCGTTGATGAGATCGATGACATCCTGCAAGTTGCCGGCCTCCGCCGCAACAAGGAGCTCAGCACCTTCCTCCATGTCGTGCGCTTGTGTGTGTATCTGTGTGTGGGGGGGGGGTCTGTGTCTTGTGTATCCTGCTTCTTGCTTGCTTGCTTGTCTTCTTTGCTTCTTTTGTGTTGGTTGGTTGGGTTTGTTTGTGCAATACGCAATCAAATGATGGAGAAAGGAGTGTTTTCAGTGACAGAGCCAAAGAGTGATCACAACATTGGTGGCAACAAGCCAATGCTCGGGCTGTGCGAAGAGAACAACGAGAGAGAAAAGGCCGAGAGACACTGAGGGGAAGGAAGAAGGGCGGCAGTCACACAACCGCAAAACACCATTGCAACAACTTCAACAACAACAACAACAACAACAACAACAACAACAACAACAACAACAACAACAACAACAACAACAACAAGAAGGAAGGCACAGCCCAATCAATCAGAGGTCGGAGACTTGAACGTTGTCCCACGGGCTTGATGCGCTTGACACGTCGCCATCTTCGGTGGTGAGGTCAATCTCAAGCTTGCTGGTGCTGCGCTTCGAGTGCATCACGTGGCGCGACTTGGTCTGGCACGCCGCGATGAGGAACACAACAAACGCGCCCGCAAACACCCCGGCAAACACGCCTACATCGCAGTGTGGGTGGTGTTGGTGACGATGACGCACGCGGTGAGTACGGCAGTGTGTCTAAACATGTAACAATGAAGGACGGTCGCCATGCACTCACACAATGGCCCTCACACCGCCACACACACACACACACACACACACACACACACACACACACACACACACACACACACACACACACACACACACACACACCTGCGACGGTGCCAGCGGAGAGGTCCTCTGTTGTTGACGCACCACCACCGCTGCTGCCGCTGCTGTCTGTGCTTCCCTCCACAGAGCTCGAGACCACAGTCCCATCAGCGGTCAACGTGTCACCAGCGGTCGCATTCGCGCCATTGTGTACAACCACCACCGTACCCGCAGCAGCAGCATCCTGTTGTGTGTGTGAGTTCGTGTGAGAGCCACAGTTGATGATGGAGGACAGCGATGGCAGCAAATACGGTAAAGTAAGCAGCAGCAGTAGCAGCTACAACAACAGCAACAACAACAGCACCATCAGCACCACCAGCGCACGAGTCCTTTCCTCTCTTGCCCACACCAACCTTTGCTGCTTGAAGGGCCCATCCCGCGCCCACCAGCTCCACCACGGTGCTCCCTGGCCGCAGTAGCACCTGCACAATAGCGCTTGTGTCGATGCCATGCGCCTGCAGCGCCTCTAGCACGGCGCCAATAAACTCCCAACGCGCCTGTGCATCTTGTTCAAACTGCGCATAGTCCAGGGCAAAGTAGATGTTCTGCTGCGTCACTGTTGTTGCGGCGGTCGGGGTGATAACAGTGACGATTGAGGTGGTGATGGTGAATGTGGGCGCGAATGTCTTCAGAACACATGCACAAGGCAAGCAAAAGAGACAAGCGCATCACACAAGCACACGCCTACACATGCATACACACACACAAGCACACACACACGCCTACACATGCATACACACACAAGCACACGCGCTTAAACAAACATACCATTCTGGCAGCGAGTTCGCGTCTCGTCGGGCACCTGTCCCGCTGGGCAGCCAACACACACGCCGTCCATGGAAATGTTCACGCCCTTGCAGGGAAGACACGTGGTGGCGTTGTACACGCCATACCCGGATGCACACGCCAGGCAACGGCCTGCACACAGTCAGAGGAGGTGCATATCGTGTGTGTGTGTGTGTGTGTGTGTGTGTGTGTGTGTGTGTGTGTGTGTGTGTGTGTGTGTGTGTGCGTGCGTGCGTCGCGTTGTGTGGATGCTGTGAGCGTGAGAAACGCAAGGCAAGAGTCACAACGATAACGCTTGTGCTCACGGCACTCGTTGAAACAGCAATGCCTCAACGCTCTCGCACACACACACACACACTCACTCACGCAAACACTCACGCAAACACTCATACGCACACCCACGCGGTCACACACCATTGAAGGAGACGCGGTTTTGGGGGCAAGGCCTGCATGTGCCGGCAACAGGCACAAGCTCCGGGGGACAGAGGTCGCAGGAGACGTATTCGATGGCGCCAATCGTGTCCACAACGGGCACGTGAGTTCGAGGGCAGTGGCACCCGGGGCAAGGCGAGCACTGTCGTGCATCGGTGCCATCGCTCTCACCGCAACGTGGCGGCATGCAACGAACCCCATCCGCCGACGCGCGAAAAGGGGCGGGGCACGCAACGCATGCCGTGCGTGCCATGTTGGGTACGAGATTGCTGGAGCACGCGCTGCACCATCCGTTGGTGCCGGCCCACCCGGGCTGACACGGCACGCACGCGGTCTGATTCCAGTTTGGTCGGGTGCCGTCGCCACAGGGCGTGCACGTGAGCGGCCAGGGCGACGTGACCACGCTCGTGGTGTCGCAAACACACGCGGCGTGCATGGTGTTGGGCACCGCGTTCGCGCCGCACGTCACGCACGCCGTCTTGTCTGACGATGCGACTTTGTCTTGGCCACAGGCAGAGCACAGGCCCAGGGTGCCGGCCCAGCCAGGCTGGCACGCCACACAAACTGAGCCGTTGGTGCTGGGCTGCGTGCCGTTGCCACAGAGCGTGCAGCTGCCGCCAATGCCAGCATGTCCAGCAGGGCAGGCAACGCAGTCGGTGTGGTCGCTGTTGGGCTCCGTTCCCCATGGACACGTGGTGCACATGCCGGCGCCTGCGGCGTCCTTGGCAGTGCCGCCCGTGCATGGCTGGCACGACAGCGTGTTGGTGCTGCCGCCACATTGGCCTTGAAGCTCCTCCCCAGCAGGGCAAGTGGTTGGGGTGCACGCGCTGCACGTGTCGCCGTCCAAAAACTCGCCCTCGGGACACACGATTGCTGTGAGGGTGGGTTGGGTGGCGGGTACATGTTAGTGAGCGTTGGTGAGTGTGCGTGTGTGCGTGTGTAGATGCGGATGTGTAGGTTGATGAGGAAAAGCTTGCAGGGCAGCATAGCGTCACGCTGCACGCACGCATACAGCCACTTTCACAACCATTCACTCGCTTTCACACACACACACACACACACACACAACATATGCACACACACAACATATGCACACTCACACGCACAACATGCACACTCACACGCACAACATGCACACTCACATACACAACATATGCACACTCACACGCGCACGTGCCTCACGGCCAACCCAGGACTTACGTTCGCAGACGAAGGAGTTACCCGAGGTCATCTTGGTGAACCCTTCGTTGCACGTGCAGTCGTCGATGGACTTTGAGTCCGCAGGACTAGTCGAGTTGCCAGGGCACGCGTCGCACGAGTCGTAGTCCCCGGCTGTCGTGTGACACTCGCCCACCGCATATGTGTTCTCAGGACACACGGTGCACGCTGTGCATGTGGACCCATCGCCAAAGAATCCTTCGTTACACGTGCATGTGGCACCCGTGCCCGGTGCTGCAACGTCCGCACATGTGGCATCGGCGTCGCACGGGACTGGATTGCATCCATCAATGTCCTCGCATGTGAAGCCGTCACCAGTGTATCCTGCAAAGGTCACGAGCGAGGGCAGCAAGGTGACACACATGTGCAACAAACAGCACACGTGTGAGCATAACAGATGAAGCAGCGTAGGACTTTTGGCACATGACCCGTTGGGCAGACACACCTACACACACAGGTAGACACACACACACACACACAAATACAGGTAGATACGCACCGACACACGTGCGCACGTGCACCAATACATTTGCACGCACACGCACACGCACACACACATACACAGGAAGACACACACGCAGACACGCACGTGCGCGCGTGCACCAACGCACACACACACACTTGAACACATACAAACACACACACCCACACACACACACACACACACACACACACACACACACACACACACACACACACACACACACACACACACACACACACACACGCCCGACCTGTCGTGCAGCCGCCACATGTGATGCCATCCTCGCTGTCTGGGCCGCCAGCAATGTCCATGCAGCCGTTGCTGTTGGGGTCGCACACGTCGTGCGATTCGCACGCGTCAATGTCTGTCAGGCAGCACGAACAATCCAACACGGCACAGCACCATACGCGTGAATGATGCAAAGAACACAGAGAAGATGTGAAGGAGGTGAGTTGGCAGTGAGGTGAGTTGGCACAAGTGTCTACATCGAAGCAGGGGCGACATCTGGCAAGGCTACCCAGAAGCACGCAACTGCATTTTGCGTTGTTGCGCACGACGACTCAATTTCAGCGTACCGGAACACGTTGCAGAGCCCGTGAAGTTGCCATCGGGCTGGCACTGGATGGTGTTGGCGGTGAGCTCGTAGCCGGAAGAGCACTGCACGTCGCAGTCGGGCTGGATGTGGGTTGCAGAGGAACACGGCGTGCCATTGTCCACGCTCGGTGGGGAATCGCACGTGACCACTGAATGTGAACGATGCGCACGACAGTGAACGCGAGTGTGCGTGTGAGTGTGTGTGTGTTTGTGTGTTTGTGTGTGTGTGTGTGTGTTTGTGTGTTTGTGTGTGTGTGTGTGTGCATGTGAGAAGGGGAAATGTGGGCCTTGCTCAAGAGCTGTGGAACATTCGAGCACACACAGCTCAACACACACACACACACATACACACGCACATGCGCACACGCATACGCACACATATGCACACACATGCACACACACACACACACCTTCGCCCTTGCTGCCGCTTTCAGTCGCTTGCAGGAGGCCAAAGGAGTTTGAGCCACACGTGAGCGTGATGGACGCCGAGGAGGCGCTCCCGGCCGTCCACTCCACCTGCGTGTCGAGATTGCCGTACCCAGCCGTGCTGCTGCACCCTGACTTGGAGGTGAAGCTGTTGGAGTCCTTCTTGGCCAGCGTGCCCGAATCCACGCTCACGAGAAACATCAGCCCGCTTCTACCATTCAAATTGATCGTGTATGTCTCCCCTGCATCACACATCCAGGCACGTGGGAGTGGGTGAGACGCATACGCAAGAATCGTGACATATCATTAGTCCACGAAGACTGTGATGCAGCGACCAAATGAACCACAATCACGTGTCACGGTGCAAGAAAGCACATAGCTACTAAGGTTCGGGTGGAAAAGCATGCAGCAATTGCGGCTCACTCACCTTCAAAATATTCTGTGGGAAAGCCTTCAATGTCGCAATCACTGTCGCCATCCGAGACAGCAGTGACGGTGTGGGACATGGCGGTCTATGTACAGAGAGTGCGTATGTGTGTGCATGTGTGTGTGTGTGCGCATGCACGTGATTGGGAGAGACAAGGGGTACAACATGTGCATGTGTGCGTGTGATTGTGGGTCGTGACATCCACGATCAAGGTGCTGCACGACATTGCTCACCTCGCCAACAGAGATTTGGCAGCCCGAGTAATAGTATGGATATGCATCTGCGATGGGTGCACACAGCGCTGCTGCGGCAAGCAGCGCCACAGCAAGCGCACCCCGACCCTGCGAGCCCATCCTGCCAACCAAAACACCATCAGATCAATAACAACATGAACTGAGAGTCTGAGCATGACACTGGCACTGGAACAAGGCATGCATGCAGGGAGGGATCTTGCTGAGTTTGCACACCTTCAACTGCTCAACTGCACACCTTTCACAGCACACTGCGGACTGGACCGAATCAAACCAAAACGCACACCTTTTGTCTGTGCTGCTTTCCTTCTTGCTTGCTGCTTCGAGACGTAGTTGCTCAGTTGATTAGGGGATCAGTTTATCGAGCAAGCGAAGCGAAGGCGAAAGTCAGTAAGTGTCCTCCCGCTGTGTGTTGCCGTGTGTTCTGCCTTCTCTCTTGAGCCAGGTGTGTGAGTGGAAATGGCAAAAGGCACACACACACAACAAGCCAACTCAAGAGAAGAGAACAAGAGCAGATGGTGTGGTTCGCACTCTCCCTCACAACAAAGCAAGGCAAGGCAAGAAGAGGGCGGATCTTCTCACTGTCGAAACCAACAACATGTTCGTGTTTTCCCCCTTCTTCGTCTTCAAGCAGGAGCAAGGCGTTTTGCAGGGGTGGTGGTGGGAAAAGGGTGAGTGTACAGGTTGGGAGGACACCGTCAAGGCTTCAAGGACGGTGGCGTTGCTGTAGGATAGAAAATCAAGTCAAGTTTTTAATCAAAATTCGAGTGTTGTTAAATGAGCATCACACCTAACATGTCTTTCGTCAATTTTCCACAGCGCTATCGCCGCTTGCTACAGACACACACACGAAGCAACAAACACCCAACGACGATTATGAAGCTCTTGGTTGCGCTGGCGATGGCGGCCGTGCTGGCCGTGTTCACCTCCGCGCCAACTGCTCAGGCACAAGAGTGCGAGTATCCCCCTGTCGGTGAGTACGCGATGCGATGCGAGGTCTTGCTTATATTTTGTTGTTGTGTGTCTGGTGGGTGTGATGTGTGTTGTTTGTGAGTGGAAGGGGCGCCCTGCCATGGTTGTTTGTTGTGTTTGTTGGTTGGGGTTGTTTGTGTTTCGGTTTGTGTCTGCGTTGGTGTGCTGGTTCGTGCACATGCACGTGTAAAACCGTACTTATGTGTTTGTGTGAAGCCGTGTATGTTGTGTTTTGTAACCGTGTCGTGCTGGTGTGGTGATTCTAATGCTGACGTGACGCTGACGCTGTTTGTGTTTTGCACGAACCTTGCCGTGCTTTTTGTTTTTGTTACTTGGAACGTGTGACAATGTGATGTGTGCTTTGTGACAGTGCTGATGCACGGTATCCTTGGTGCTGCCGAGAAGATCACGGCCGTCGTGGACTGGATCCACGAGGCCATCCCGTGCGCGTACATCAAGAACATGGAAATCGGAAACGGCCCGCTCGACAGCGTGTTCATGCACATGAACGACCAAGTACGTGTTTGTTTGTTTGTTTGTTTGTTTGTTTGTGGACAAGTGTCTTTGGGGTTGAATAACAGCAAACGTGACCGCAACGAACCTTGTGTGTGGCTGCGTGTTGGTTGAGCGTCGCTGGTATTCAGCGGTTGCTCCAAGCTGATGGCCGTTACTGCACACTGTTGCTGTTTGTGCACACTGTTGCTGTACCCGGTTGCTGAACACGGAATCGGTGTGCCTGAACTTTCTTTCATCCGAAGCAACCTTCCTTCTGACACTGTCATACGTGTGCATGTGCAGGTTGACAACTTTTGCGAACAAGTGTACGCAGATCCAAAGCTTGCGCGTGGCTTCAACCTGATTGGCTTCTCCCAGGTACACTCGCAGTTCACACGAGCACAAGCCCTACGATCAACCGCCACCCTGCCAAGCGCACACACACAGAGAGAGAGAGAGAGTGTGTGTGTGTGTGTGTGCGTGCGTGCGTGCGTGTGTGCGAGAGAGAGAGAGAGAGTAAGAGTGTGTGTGTGCGAGAGAGAGAGACGGATGGACGGACAGACAGACAGACAGACAGACAGCAACGCAAGCAAGCAAGCAAACACACACGCACGCACACACACACACATACACACATCTTGTTCTTATTTTACTCACATCAACTCCAAACACGCACACCTCCCGCTCCCAAACAAATGCAAATGCAACCGCACGACAGGGCGGGTTGATTGCGCGAGGGTATGTGCAGCGATGCAACAAGTACCCCGTCATCAAC